GTCTAGGAGTCTCCCCTGGTTCAAAACCATCTTTAGAGGTCCTAGCACGCCATATACACGCTCCTGTGTGTATAAACACACAAGTGTATAAACACACAGGTGTATAAAACTTCAACTGCCTGAAAACACAGGCGTATAAAAATACAACTGCGTGAAACACACAGTAGTATAACTCAACTGGAAACACCAGTATAAACTCAACTGCGTGAAACACACAGTAGTATGAAACTTCAACTGCGTGAAACACACAGTAGTATGAAACTTCAACTGCGTGAAATACACAGCAGTATGAAAATTCGGCTGCGTGAAACACACAAACTTCACGCATGCGTGGAGTGTATGGAATGTACGGGAGTGATTCACGCAATGGTGCGAATAGTCACGGCCTTAAAAATAAGTATTTCGATACAAAATAACTTCACAAAAAGTCGGGCTTTTAGAGATAGGATAAGTACGGGGGTTAAATAAGTCGTTATACTGTGGTCTTGAAGATATTTTCAACCTTTGATTTTTCAATCACTCAAAACATTCACTTTCAATTCCCCCAACGAAAATGGTGATCATTTTTTATTCCAGGTAAACAACCTGTTGTTCAAAAATACCTGATACCCGTGAAGATGAAAAAAGGAAACAAATCGAGGATGGACGGGGAAGACTGCCTGACATAATGAGTGGACGCCTGGAGCGTGAAACTTGGCTAATGCCTGGCCACTCATGGAAAACTTAGTTTTGTTTTCATAAAACATTTTCACTCGCTACTACCCCCCCCCCCCGCCCCGTTTCCTATTACATTCTAGCATCAGTAGAAATGAGCAGGCACATTTCAACCGTCTTCACTCACTCGGAAATACTAAGGACACACGAGTTTCATCCTCAACAACGAGGAAGAAAACACAGGTGAAGAGGTTTTTACGACTTGGCAACTTATGGCAACTAATGTTTATACGCCACTTCATTGTTTATGTGCGCTGTAACTCGGGAGTGGAAATATTTTATATGTTATTTTTAGAAAATTTCCCATCAACATTTTCAAAATTATCAGAATATCTGAACACTGGAGTGAAAATATTTTCAATAAATGAAAAAATTTCGATTTTTTTCAGGCAGTGTTCTTGGGGTTTTTTATGAAGTGACTACTCAAATGAAATTTCAAGAAACTTCATCTTTGAAAATTCACAATCTGATGACAAAAACGAAATGACAAATTTTAGTTCAATTATTCCTTGAAAATTATTTTCTGAAAATTTAAACTAAACTTTTCATTAAATTTCAATTCCTCTCTGTTCCATGTGCTCAAGATTCAATGCTTACGCCCCACTTCATTATTTTTTGTAAATATCTAATCCCCAATTATTAGAAAACTTCACATCAACATTTTCAAAATCACCAAAATATCTCCAGAGTCTAATGGAAATATTTTCAATGAATGGACGGGGAAATTGTAGATTGAAAGCGCAGAATGACAATCCATTTATTTTCAAAAGCTCTCGATATATTCCAGAGCGAAATTTCACAATTGAACTTGAAATTTTCGTTGCCAAAATTCAATTGAAATTGAATTTTTTCTAATAAAAAAAATTTGGACATATCTCCAAATCTATTAGAGATAAATGGATCGTCGGATTTTTTTCAACGGAAATTTTTCTGGCTTCGCAATAAAATACTCCACCCCTTCCCCTATTTTTAAAAATTATTGATTTTTAAGTGAATTTTTAAATTAATTGGCATTGTACTTACTCTTTTGCCTCCACGATGACACCACTGAGCACCTCAATAATTTTCCTATCCACCCACAAAGCCGTCTCAATCATATAAATAGCCAAAACAATGAGGTAATATGACACAAGTTTTCCCACGATTTTTCCTTTATGCAAATAACTTCCGCCTGCAATAATCGAATAAAGCGGGAGAGAAGTAAGGAAAAAGGATTGCTGATGAGTCGAAAAAGAAATGATAAAATTATACAAATTCAACAGAGGATTTAATGGTGGTGTACGTAACTCGTTATTATCCAAAGGGTTTTAATGTCCGACACGGCTGCGCCAGTCACGACACAGGCATTTTGATACCAGTCAGTCAAGATCTCAGCGAATGCACTGAGACTATCCATCACCGAGCGACTCTCAAGTTCGAGAAATGCTGAAATTATTTGGTCAGGTGATTATTCATTTTTGGTTTGGGTGGAAATTCAGGGCAAAACAGTGGATGCCAATGTTTAATTATTACTATTCCCCAACATTTTTTCAGTACTGAAGAAAAAGTTGGAGAAAAATTACCAAACAAGTCAAGTAATCGTGGAGCAGCCTCGATTTTTCTTTTCACCTTAAATAGGATAAAAAGTGCGAGATTAATAGTGAACTTTACTCAGTTGGCCCGAGAAAATTTACTAAACGTGAGGGTGATTTGTACCGAAACTGTAAAATTTACCCTTCATCCCATCAAAAATTATCCTAGTGAACGTGAATAATTGCTCCAATTTTTCGTATAACTTTTCTGTAACGGAGAATGATTTTTACCGAAGACACTGTCTATTCACACGCTCCACGGTAACTTCGACCGTGGATGTACAGGACGTTTTCCCGTGGATTCAAGGTAATTTTTACCGTAGATGTGGGATATCGTGGACCCTCAACTTCTGCTTCTCAAATTAAATCTAGACAATAAACTAGACACATCGAATCAATTGATAAATGATATGCAGACAGTAGACTAGTAAATAATTTTCTCAAAATATTAATTCGTTGAATAGGAATAGCAAGGACTTCCGTTCAATTATTTCATGCAATTTAATAAAAATTAAAAAAGTTCAGATGAATGTATTGTTGAATTGCCAATTAATTGACAACAATATGGTTCTTATTTTAAGAATCCAGGCTTCTTGATTTCAATACACAACGGTTCTTTCAGGTCAAAACTGTGGATGAGAATGTTTAATTATAACTTTTCTCCAAAATTTGTTGAGTACTGAAGAACATTTCTGAACTGTAAACAATTGTTGATTGAATTTTAAGACTTTCATATCCGAAATTTACAATTTGACGAAAAAATCAACGACATCTTTGAATTTTCAGTCAATTATTTCATAAAAAATGACTAAAAATCCGAAACGTTCAGGTGAATGTATGGTTCTTATTTTAAGAACCCAGGGTTTTTGATTTCAATGCCCAATGGTTCTGGACTCCCGCACCGTGGTGCTGAAAGGCAGAAACTTTTTTCCGCAGTGTCGCCCTGTTTTTTGCCGTAAATTGCCCTGTCTTTCCATTAAAAAAACATCGTTCGCTTCTCCCCACCCGAAAAAAAATCCATTCACTCGGACAATTCACAATTCCTGTACTCACGGTCAACGAAGAGATATCCGGTGTCGCCAATCCCGGATATTTCCACTTGCAATCTAAAGAACAATTTCCCCCGTCACTCAAAACTCATCTGACCACCAAAGGTTTTCATTACCCCGCAGCATCTCCTCCCCATCGTAAAAATGCTTTCCAGAAAGCGAGCATTGCAGGGAAATGTTCGCAAAGTGCGATGAGAAAAAAATAAAAACTGAAAATTCCCTTTTACCCGCGTGTAATATCCCTGTGCCTTTTATGACTTTCATTTCTGGTCCATCGGTCTCGCTCCAATCGTCCGTCCATCATCCTCCGTATCGACTATTGTCTGCGAATTGAATTGGCAATGTTGCTGAGGCCACCCTCGTCGGCAAAATCGCAAAGAGACTCTCACCTGACTCGTGTTTAACCTCGTAAAAAAAATGTGAGAAATAAAAGAAATTGAGCAAAACGAATGAAATGAAGAATGAAATTCCTCGGGCGCAATTGAAAGGGAAGAGAGCAGGCGCTATACTTCACATGCAACATTAACGGTTATCAGCATTTGTACCTGTGTATCGATGCACCTGAGGTTAATTGAAGATGAAAAGGTACATCTGATGATGGCTAACCAACTCAATGCTATTTTCCCCCTGTGTCGGATGACATAATGCATTCTCAACTGTCAGTGTGACGTCATGGTGGGGAACTTCATGAGGGTTCACACATTAGCGCCACAGGGGGGAGTTTGTGTCTTTCGTCGCGAGCTTTTTGTCGTCATTCTTTTAATTCTTGTCGCTGTACGTCGGCGTAGAATGCCGCAAAAACGTCGAATGGGGGTTTTTCAGGGGGAATGGAGTTTCAGGAAGTCATTGGGGGAGTTTTCGTATAAAGACGCGTGTGGAGAAAAAACTGTGGGAAGTATTACGTGATAACTCAATTGGGAAAGAGTGTGAGGTAAGAGATGAATATTCTTTTTTGATTCTGGAGATTTCGGTGAATTGGAAAGTAATTCAATTGAGGGATTGGCTTTTGCGGGGAAAGTATGTTTAGCCTTTATAAAAAAATGGGCAATATCTCGAATCGATAGATTATAACTCTAACATGACGGATGTTTCGAACGACTGGAGAATTGAATACCATTTTATAAAACATGAATGAATGAATGGTAATTATCCAAATCATTTAGGTTAGAAGAAAATAGAATAATTGGAATTTCTTAATATTGGATTCACGAAGGTTTTGCTCGAACAAAATTGATTAGAATTAATAGATAGAATTGTGAGATTATCTCACAATTTTGATGCTAAAATAGGCGAATCTGAATGAAATATAGTGAAGATAATGATCGATTCTTTCACTTTGAATAAATCACAATAATATTCAATACATGAATATTCAGCAGCAAATGCTGAATTGTTGATTAATGGAAAATTCATGAGCATCTAGATTTTTCTGATTCATATTAATTTTCATGAAATAACTGATCTGGAATTTACGGTTTCCATTGATTTTTTCATCAAATTGGGAATTTTTAATGACAAATTATCATGAAATTTCAGTCAAATTGTCACTTCATGAAAATTTCCAAATTTTCATAAAATTTTATAGATAGTTTAGTGGCGATTTGCAGGGAAGCAACACCGAATGCGATTTAGGGGAGGAAAAATCATGAAATTTGAACGGAAAATTTAATGGAAATCTAAATTTCCAAGCTGCAGGAAGATGAGAATTCTATAACTTTCTTAAATTTTCAGTCAGTACATGAATATTCAGCAGGAAAATTCATGACTATATTTACCTAGATTTTTCTGACTTCAATTAATTTTCATCGAATAACTGATCTGGAATTTAAGATTTCCATTGATTTCTCCATCAAATCGCAAATTTTCAACGACAATTTTTCTTGAAATTTCAGTGGAATTGTCGCTTCATGAAAATTTCCAAAAACACTATTGAAGAAAATTTAAATTTTACGGACAAATTTAGTGGTAATTTCCACGAATACTAATTTCCGAACTGCAGGAAAATGAGAATTCTACAACACACTTGAATCGTCAATCAAAACATGAATACTCAGCAGCAAATTACCCTGAAGTTTCAATTAATTGAAAATTCATGAATATATCCATCTTCATTTCACAGTCTCTTAATATTCATGGAACCATCGAATTGAAATTAACACTTTCCATTGTTGAAGGTCTCAAATTCAGTACCTGTTGATCATCAAAATTCCATTTGAAAAAATTAAGAGCTAATGGACATAACAAGGCCATTTTCCAAGGTTTTCACCCGGAAATTTCTCTGACTACAATGAAATACCCATCAACGTCTCCGTAATCCAGTAGATCGTAAAAAATAGAATAACTTCATTAATCACATTTTTATTCACTCTTAATTACCGTATTCTCATCTCCCCTTGAAAATTCGTATTAATATCCATCGCTCTCCCCCCGCACCGAGACGTATCAGTGTACAGTGCTTTGTTGAACGAATGAAAGATACAAACTACGATACAAATAATTGCAACTCGGTAAGGGTATCGCACGAGATCGACCTCGACGCTTGGTCTTACACCAGCCCGTATATCATCGAGCCACTACGTTTTAAAGGTTCATACGTAAAGTTCATCAACGCCAGTTGCCCCACGGTAACTGCTAGTGCGCACTTAGTTTTTTATTTTATCTGATCGATTAGAAGGCACAGTGAGTACCATTCTTGCTGGGGAAAAAAAGCAAATGGGAGATTTTTTTTTAATGGTAAAAGTTTTGCTCTCTACCCTTCGCGGGTTAATCCTCCACGATCAAACGTTTTGTACTTCCTCGTTAAATGTTGCTAGCATCCGGAGGTGTTGACTTTGAGAAAAATTTGTGGGGATAATTCAGAGGGAATGAGTTCAGAGGAAATGATTTGCCGGTGATTAATTTTTTGTCGTGAATTTTCACACATCGTGTTTTTGTATTAATTAATTTCAATGGATTTGTTTTTTTATTGCTGATTTCAATTTTCAAGTTTTAAATATATTTTGATTTCTGTTTAATTGGGAGAGAAAAGCAGAAGATTGTGGGCACTTTTAGCATCAATTGAAGGATATTTTGAGAAAATTTATTCACTTTTTAAATATTTTCTGCTTATAGATAAGTACAGAGGTTTGATTGTTTTTATTTTTCAGTTGCAATACCACGAGACCTTCAAAACTATGGGATATTTTTGTCGAGCTTTCCAGAGAAAAGAATGTGTCAAATCTAGCAGGCTTAAAATTCCGAGTGCGCAAGGGATTTTTCTGCAAAGCTTGACGCACTCGTCAACTTCAATAATTCGATTGATTTGGAATATCCACAAAGTCTGCAGCGTTTTTCTGGGAATTAAACGTCAATCAAAATTTATTTAAAACTTGGAAATTCGAATCAACAATTGGAAAGAAATCCATTGAAACTAATTAATAGAAAAATATGATGTACGCTTTTAAAAATTTTCGTCTAAGTTTTTCATACCAAATTTCGGAAATTTTTTATCGTGGTCAAGTTCTACTGAACTTTTGGGAAATCTTGTCATTGAAAAATCAAATATTCTGTTGAGTTTCTGTCCAAATGATCAAAAAATCGATAAAATACTGGATTTTTCAGTTCAAATATTCTATGAAAATTCAGAAAATTCAGGGAAAAATTGAAAATTCATGCCGTTTTATTTCTGAATATTCATGCTCCACTGAAAATTCAATCAAGTTGTGAAATTTCCATCTCACTCCCACTCAAAACTGATAAATTTTCTTGAATTCTACCTAAAACTAGAAATTTCACAACCGTTTTTCCCCTAAATCCGATTCAATGTCACTCATATGAGAATTGCCATAATATTTTCCATGAAATTTCCAAAAATTTCTGCCAGTGTTTCAATAAAACCAAAATCTCGAGTGCAGAGCGCAACAGATTCTCCTGTAAAACGTGACATACCCGTTTTTTTGCAGTGTCCGCGGGAAAAACCGATGAATTTTGAAAGTTGAGGGGCAATCGAAGGACAATTTCCTCATCAGAATTTTTCAATAAATTCCCCTGACTGTCTCCACGTCTCCCGAAGAAAGTTATGACGGATGAAGAATCAAAACCCATAAAAATGAAGAGAAAAAGAAATAGACTCGATACTAATGCAATTAGTACGGTGTCTAAAGAATAAAAGAACGAGGAGAACGATTCCCAAGACCGTGACAGTAAACGTCCATGAAATTGGCCAAGTTCTCCCACGGACTATCGCTCTCTCTGTCTCACTTCATTCAATCTAACCAGCGAAATAACGCAACGGCGGAAAGGGAATTGAAACAAAAGGGATTACAAGGAGAGCCGTCGAAAAGCTTCGAGAATCAGTGGAATTTATTTGATTCTGCTCTTTATTCAATGAATTTTTTACGAGCAATTTGTTATTCTCTCATTGTTTCCAGGTGGTAATCGAAGGCGAGCAGAGGCCAATGGGAAATCTCGGGGATCTGACAAGCCATCAGTAAGTACTTGGCTTATTTATAGGCGAGTGAATCTAACAGTCGTGATTCCGTGATTCACGTTTGAAATGATTTTTCTTTTTCATTTCTTCAGGGTGAAAATATTCCTCGGGGCAAAATGAATTGTGCTTTCTTGGAGTTTAATGAGAGATTAAAGATGGGGTTGTTGGGGATCATAACAAAATGTAAGCATAAATCCTCAGAAGTTGGGGGGTATTAGTTTAATCTCTTAATAATTTGTGCTCGTGGTTATTATAATATTCATTCTCGTATTTCTGAGTCATTTGGTGGAGCATGTGTTTACAGCTGATGGCATCATTTTCAGGGGATAGCGAGGGATTTCCGGTTAAAAACACAGTATGATGACCAATTTTCGTTCTGTCCGCCTAGGGTTACGGACTTTTCTGTCTGAAAATTAATTCGTCTAATGTTGGGAATTTTAGTTTAATCTTCAATTGCTATTGTTGGTTATTGTGATTTTTATGGGAGAATTCTCTCATCATGTTTTTATTGTAGCCGGCAGTGTCATTGGTTTGAACTTTAATCATAAAAATAAAAATAAATAATGAATACATTTGTAATTAAAAATTTACTCGTTTTTGCTGGGAATTAAAAGTTCACGTATGAATATTGAGTTTTTCATGAAAAAAAATGATCAAAAAAATCGGTAGAATTTCGTCTTTTTCAATAGCAATTCCTTAACTTGAATTTTCTAAGTGTTTCCCATTCTATTTTTCTTCTCTTCTCATTACAAAAATCAAACAAAAACACTTAGACAATTTAAGCCGAGGAATCTCTGTAGAAAATAACTCGGTAGAATAGTTTTATAGAAATATCG